CACAGTCTTCCCCTTGCGCAGCAAGGGTGATGTCACTGAGGTGCTGATCGACTGGATCCGCGCAGCTCGTCTCCAACTCAGGCAGAGCTTCGGCTCGGACTTTCCTGTTCTGCGTCTGCACTCGGACAGAGGCGGAGAGTTCTCCTCTGGCCTTCTGCGTGCCTACTGTCGTGCACGGGGCATCCGTCAGACCTTCACGCTTCCGGACTCACCGCAGCAAAATGGGATTGCTGAGCGCCGCATTGGCATGGTCATGGACGTCGCTCGTACGTCTATGATGCATGCGGCTGCCCCCCATTTTCTGTGGCCGTTTGCGGTGAGGTACGCGGCGCATCAGATCAACCTCCACCCCAGGGTCTCCAGGCCGGAGACCTCCCCAGCCTTGCTGTGGACGGGGAAGGTTGGCGATGCGTCGGCGTTCCGGGTCTGGGGATCTCGGGCGTTTGTCCGCGACCTGTCTGCGGACAAACTATCCCCTCGTGCTGCTCCTTGCGTCTTCCTGGGGTTCCCCCCTGACGCGCCTGGGTGGCAGTTTTACCACCCCACCTCTCGCCGTGTTCTGTCCTCCCAGGACGTCACGTTTGACGAGTCGGTCCCCTACTACCGCCTCTTCCCCTACCGCACTCCGTCCCTCCCCCCACCCCCACTCTTCCTGGTACCAGGTCCCCCCCAGGTAGACCCCCTCCCCCCTCAGGGTCCTGCCCCTTCAGGTGTGTCCCAGGTAGACGCAGTCGAGCCTGTCGAGGTCACTGGTGACTCTGGTGCTGCTGAGGGTGCTGAGGCTGGGGGTGCTGTACCTGGGGGTGCGGAGCCTAGGGGTGCTGGGCCTGGGGGTGCTACGTCTGGCGGTGCTGCGCCTGGGGGTGCTGAGCCTGGGGGTGCTGAGCCTGGGGAGCCTGGGGGTGCTGAGCCTGGGGGTGCTGAGCCTAGGGGTGCTACGTCTGGGGGTGCTGAGCCTAGGGGTGCTACGCCTGGGGGTGCTGAGCCTGGAGGTGCTCCGCCTGGAGGTTCTCCGAGTGCTTCGTCTCGCCGGGAGCCACTTTCTCCACAGGAGCTGCGTGAGTGGTTTGCCCGGCGCTGGAGGCGTGCTGCTGGTGCTGGAGGTCCTTCGGCTGCTGAGGGTGCTGCGGTCGCGGGTCCCGGAGGTGCTCGTCCTGGGTGCACTGGAGCTGGTGCTGCTGAGGGTGTTGGCGCTGAGACTACCGCTGGCAGTCCTACTGGGGGTGCTCCTGGTGCTGCTGGAGGTTCTGGAGCTACTGGTGGTGCTGCTGGAGCGGGTGCTCCTGCTGAGGGTTCTGGTGCTGTCCCTGCTGCTTCTAGCGTCGCCGCGCGGCCTCGACCGTACTTCGTTCCACTCCTGCAGCAGGTTCTTGGTCTTCCACCTTCTACTGGTCCTCCTCCTCCCTTAGAGTGTCCTCAGCCTGTCTCGTCCCAGCTACAGTTGCAGCCTACCTCCCCTTTGCCTGCTCCTTCTCCCTACACTGGTCCTACTGGAGGTCTGGCTGAGCGTCGTGAGCCTGCGTCTCGCCCTGCGTCGCCTGTCCGTGCTGCTCGCACTAGTGGTCGCGGTTCGCGTCAGCGTCCTCCTCCTGTCCCTGGCACGCACCGGATGTCTCTGCGTCCGTCCACTGCTCCTCTGCGTGCCCCTTTGCCTTCTCCTCCTGAGTCCTCTCTTCCTGCTCTTGCCGACCCGGAGTCGGACTCTCTTCGTGCTGCCAGTCCTACTGTCACGCGTCTCCTTGCTACTGTTGTCACTGACCCTTCTTTCGAGTCTACTGCTGCGTCTGCTCTCGTTACTGAGCTCGTCGACTTTGCTGCTCGCTGTCGCTTAGACTACGCTGCTAGTCTTGTCGCTGAGTCTGAGTCTGTCTGTCCTCCGTCCGTCGGGGGTGAGTGTGCCCTTGGCACGGACGTCCTTGAGGACAGGCAGGAGGAGTTCCAGTGTCTGGCAGCTGCCTCACCTCATCTCGTGTCCGTACTGCTTACCCCTGAGGGAGACCCGGATGCACTTGACATCCCGACTCCGCGCTCTTACGCGGAGGCGATAGAGGGTCCCTACTCCTCTCAGTGGCAGGCAGCTATGGATGCAGAGATGGCTTCCTGGAAGTCCACAGGCACCTACGTTGACGCTGTCCCCCCTCCTGGGGCGAACATCGTCAGTGGCATGTGGATCTTCAGGGTGAAGCGGCCGCCGGGTTCTCCGCCTGTCTTCAAGGCGCGTTACGTGGCTCGTGGCTTCAGTCAGCGGCAGGGAGTTGACTACTTTCAGACCTTCTCCCCCACCCCGAAGATGACCACTCTTCGGGTACTGCTGCACGTTGCTGCTCACCGTGACTACGAGCTGCACTCTCTTGACTTCAGCACAGCTTTCTTGCAGGGCAGCCTGCACGAGAAGATCTGGCTGCGTCGCCCACCTGGCTTCACTGGGTCTTTCCCTTCTGGTACCCAGTGGAGTCTCCGGCGTCCAGTCTACGGTCTCCGCCAGGCGCCACGTGAGTGGCACGACACACTGAGGACTACACTTGCGGCTCTTGGGTTTGCTCCTTCTACTGCCGACCCGTCGCTGTTTCTACGCACCGACACCTCTCTGCCGCCGTTCTACATCCTCGTGTACGTCGACGACTTGGTCTTTGCCACAGCTGACACTGCTGGACTCGCCTACGTGAAGTCCGAGCTGCAGAAGAGACACACGTGCACAGACCTGGGTGAACTGCGCAGCTACCTTGGCTTGCAGATCACCCGGGACAGAGCACGCCGCACCATTACCCTGACTCAGTCACACATGGTGCAGCAGGTCCTTCAGCGCTTCGGCTTCACGTACTCCTCGCCTCAGGCCACTCCTCTGTCTACTCGCCACTCGCTCTCAGCTCTGCCTTCGGATGAGTCCGTAGAGTCGAGTGGCCCGTACCCAGAGCTTGTTGGCTGCCTCATGTACCTGATGACCTGCACACGACCTGACCTTGCATACCCTCTTAGCATTCTTGCACGCTATGTTGCTCCTGGGAGACACCGACCAGAGCACATGGCTGCAGCGAAGAGGGTGTTGCGCTACTTGTGCAGTACGTCGGGCATGGGGCTAGTGCTTGGAGGGCGGAGTCCAGTGGTCCTCACTGGGCACGCGGACGCTTCTTGGGCTGACGACCAGGCTACGCAGCGGTCGTCACAGGGTTACACCTTCAGCCTTGGTTCCGGCTCTGTTTCGTGGCGGGCTACTCGCTCGTCTTCTGTTCTTGGCTCGAGTTGTGAGGCTGAGATCTACGCCGGGGCCATGGCTGCACAGGAGCTTCGCTGGCTCACCTACCTGCTGACCGACCTTGGAGAGCCGCCTCGTTCTCCTCCAGTCCTGTACGTAGACAACAAGGCCATGCTGGCCTTGTGTCAAGAGCAGCGACTGGAGCACAGAACAAAGCACATTGCTCTCCGCTACTTCCTTGCTCGTGAGCTACAGCAACGTGGTCAGTTGCGGCTTGCGTACGTGGCCTCTGAGGCCAACACTGCTGATGTCTTCACCAAGGCACTTGCGCCTTGTGATCATCAGCGCTTCTGCACTCAGCTGGGTCTTGTGCCCGTCTTGCCTCACTTGCTCTCCTCTTGACCTTGCCTGTACTCTCACATATATATATACCTGCTCTTGCTTGTCTAGCTTTATATATATGTGTGTACTCTTGCATGTGAACTGGCCGTGTGGCCTTGACCCTGTGCTCGGACTGTGTGGTGACTTTGTGATCCACCCTGAGCTTGCTTTGCTTTACTTTGCTTGACTGGTCTTGTGACCCCTTGTTCTCCCCCACTTTGCCTATGGGGGTGTGTCAGAACATTATAGCTTATGCTGTTGTGTAGGCTATAGTGGGGTATCCCATAGGGGGTACAACCAATTAGGGTTTCATATTTGTACTCACTTCATTTCATAGTTCACCCATTCTTGTTCAAATCTTCTCAGTAGTTGTAATGGTAATAGTAATGGTAATGGTAATGGTATTGGTAAGGTAATGGTAATGGTAGTGGTAATAGTAATGGTAATGGTATTGGTAATGGAAATAGTAATGGTAATGGTAATGGAAAGAGTAATGGTAATGGCAATGGTAATGTTAATGGTTATGGTAATGGTAATGTTAATGGTTATGGTAATGGTAATGGTAATGGTAATGGTAATGGTAATGGTAATAGTAATGGTAATGGTAATGCTAATGGTAACGTATTGGAAATGGTAATGGGAATGGTAATGGTAATGGTAATGGTATTGGTATTGGTAATGGTAATAATGATGGTAAGGTATTGGAAATGGTAATGGGAATGGTAATGGTAATGGTAATGGTAATGTTAATGGTTATAATGATGGTAATGGTAATGGTAATAGTAATGGTAAGGTAATGGTAATGGTAATGGTTATGGTAATGGTAATGGTAATCGTAATGGTGATGGTATTGGTAATGGTAATGGTAAGGTAATGGTAGTTGTATTGGTAATGGTAATGGTAATGATAATGGTATTGGTAAAGTAATGGTAATGGTAATAGTAATGGTAATGGTATTGGTAATGGTAATAGTAATGGTAATGGTAATGAAAAGAGTAATGGTAATGGCAATGGTAATGTTAATGGTTATGGTAATGGTAATGGTAATGGTAAGGTAATGGTAATGGTAATGGTAAGGTATCGGTAATGGTAATGGTAATGGTAATAGTAATGGTAAGGTAATGGTAATGGTAGTGGTTATGGTAATGGTAATCGTAATGGTAATGGGATTGGTTATGGTAATGGTAATGCCAATGGTAATGGTAATGGTAGTGGTAATGGTAATGGTAATGGTAGTGGTAATGGTAATGGTAATGGTATTGATAAGGTAATGGTAATAGTAATGGTAATGATAATGGTAATGGTATTGGTAATGGTAATAGTAATGGTAACGGTAATGGAAAGAGTAATGGTAATGGCAATAGTAATGTTAATGGTAATGGAAATGAACACCGTTTCGCACCCGGTGAGAGGGTTCGAGGTGGATATGAACGACCTTCTGTATTTCACGTATGAGCACGCGTCCACGCTGTCGACCGTGGCGTTAAAGGGCGGCGTGGTGTGTAGCATGTGGGGGCCTATGATCGGCCCGCGCGCTGCTGCTGCTGTGTCGCTGCTGCAGAAGCTCAGGCGGGCACCCACTGATGAGGAGAGCGCCAAGGCTACTGGTGAGGGGAGGATGTTACCGCGTGCAGATGGGGCTGGGATGTGGTAGTTGAGGGGGGGCACGTGGGCATGGGGGCATGGGTTTGGGGGCAAGGGCATGGGCGTGTGGGCATGGGCACGTGGGCTTGGGGGCATTGGGGGAATGGGCATGCAGGAATGTGTTATGGGGGAATGGGCATATGCGCATGGGGAAATCCTATGCTGCTTGGAAATCCGGCGGATTTTTTCCAGCCTTTTCCCTCCCTCGCTCCATACGCCCTTCCCTACCTTCCCTCCGTTCTCTCTTCCCACCAATGACCCTTTTTCTCCCTTCCCCCCTCCCCCCACAGGCCTCGGCGGGGCATCAGTGTCAGAAGCAGCAGGAGCCGTGGGCGCATACGAGCAGCTGCTAGTTCTCCTCTTCGACTGCTCGCTCCTTGAGACGTCTCAAAACTCTTCCCCCTCCCCCCACCCCACAGGCCTCGGCGGGGCATCAGTGTCAGAAGCAGCAGGAGCCGTGGGAGCATACGAGCAGCTGCTAGTCCTGCTCTTCGACTGCTCGCTGCTCTCAGAGCTCGGGGAGAACACCGACCGGGGCAGCCGGGAAACCGACGCGTTCATAGCAGCGCGCGACGCCACGTGCCGAGAAGCCATCTCCGATTTCCGGCAGTCCGCCCCTGCGAGTGACCGAGTGCATGCGTACATGCTGCTGCTGCGTGTCGTGGGAATAGCGCTGGCTCTTAATGTGGACTATGTGCCGCTCGGCAGCATGTTTCCGCCCAGCCTGCTCACCAGTTTCCCTACGCTGCGGTCGGAGGTATGGTGGGGTTGGGGGATTGGTGGTGGGGTTGGGGGATTGGTGGAGGGTTTGGGGTACTGCGGGTGTGGCAGGGTTTGGGGTATGGTGGAATTTGAAATGCAAGAATGGACATATACAAAGCATCTGCTCTGCCTGCCCTGCGATTGTTAAATTACGTGCCCATACGATGTGCAAGCATCACATCGCATCTCTTCATTCCTTGCAGCCCGCCTTCACTGCTGCTCCATTACCTCCCAACATCCCTCTTCCCTCGCCTTTCCTCTTATCCTCCTTCCCAGCGTCTTCAAACTTCATCCACATCACTGCCCTCGTAACGCCCTTCCCTTCGCCTTTTCAACCCCCATCTCAAACCCCTTTCCTCCATGCGTTGGAATCCCTTCCTCCCCATTCTGCTGCGTGCCCTTTCCTTCCATCTCTTCCAGCCACTGTCCGAGGCAGAGGCGACAGTAGACAGCAAGCGCATGGAGGCACGACTGCAGTTCCTGCTAGCAGTCATTCTCGCCCAGCACCGCCAGGCTGCCGCTGCCACTGCCGCTGCTGCCGCTGCCACTGCCTCTGCCGCTGCTGCTGCCACCGCTGCTGCCGCTGCTTCTGCCGCCGCCACTGCTGCTGCGAACGCGCAACAGCAGGCCTTGCTCCCTGCTCCTGATTCGGGCTCAGACGCTGCTGCTGCTGCTGCTGCTGCTGCTGCTGCTGCTGCTGCGGGTGGTGGTGCAGGGGCCATGCCCCTTGCTGCCCTAGGCCATGAGCCTGGACCATCTGGCATGGGCATGGGGGCAGGCATGGGAGATGCGATGGCTATGGGGGGGATGGGCATGGGTGGCATGGGCATGGGGGGCATGGGCATGGGTGCTGGCATGGACATGGGTGGTATGGGGCAAGGCATGGGCATGATGGGTATGGGTCCTGGTATGGGGATGACCCAGGATATGTATATGGCTCAAGGCATGCACATGGGCATGGGTGGCGGTATGCCGATGGGCGGAGATATGGGCATGGGCATGTATCCGGGTATGGGCATGCATCCTGGCATGGGCATGCACCCTGGCATGGGCATGCACATGGGTGCAGGCATGGGCATGGGTCCTGGAATGGCTCCTGGCATGGGCTATCCTGCAGGTGGGATGGATGGCATGGGCATGAACATGAACATGCACATGGGCAACATGGGCAATATGGGCATGGGAGGCATGGGACCCATGGGCGGCATGGGAGGCATGGGAGGCATGGGGGGAATGGCTGGTATGGATGGTACAGGAATGCCCCCAGCAGCACCTGTCCCAGCAGCAGCAGCCCCAGCCAAGGCGCATGCGCATCGGCTGCGGGTCTACGAAGCTCGGTACCGAGCCGCATCCGCGTTTGCCCTAGCCAATGACCTGGGTGTGCCACATGACGAGCTGCGGCGCCGCCAGGTGGCTCTCAAGTATCTCAAGCAATAGCGCTGTGTGGGTGAACACGCGTTTGCATGGGTGTGTGCATATGCATGCACAGCTGGTGCTGAACCTTCTCAAGCCATGGTAATGTGCAGATGGACATGGGTGTAATTTTATCTGGGCCTGGGGCATCCATTACAACTCGGTAGACCCGACATGCATACACCATAGTAGCAATGACTTGTAGTGGCTAGGATGTGTTGGGAAGTACCGTACGTAAACGTTGTGTGTGGTGCTGTTACAGGCTAAACTGCGGCGGAGACGGTATGTGATGGGATATACGTAGAAATTGGCTGGGCAGGTTAGCTTGCTAGGGGTTTGCTAAGGCAGGACAGGTGTGACTTGGTGTGATGCCATCTATATGCAATCCACGCAACAACAGTATGTAGGGAACTTATCATTTACATCTGTTTACATGAACACACTAAATTACCTGAGGGGGGTTACAAACACAGAGTGAAACGGTACCATTTCATCATCACTACAAGCCACAACTTGTGGTAATCTAAACACCCATTGCATTATTCTGCAGAAATACCGGTTTCTTCCGGTTCACACAGCACGTGCCTCCACCAGAGGGCCGATCTCTTGGGGAACCTAGCACCCCCGTGAGCAAAGTCCACATAATGAATGCCAAAGCGGCGTGAGTATCCCATGGCCCACTCAAAGTTGTCCAGCAGCGACCACGCGAAGTAGCCTCTCACAACCGCGCCATCCCTGGTGGGGGAGACGCGATGCGTGGCGAGAGGGAGGGCGGGAGCGATGGGGGGTTGAAGGGATGGAAAGGTGAATTTTGTACGCATGTTTGGATGCGGGAAGGGATGATATGGTGTGTGTGTGTGTGTGTGTGTGCGTGTGATGATCAAAGGACAATCACGACCATTAGGTGTTCCCATCCCACGGCTAACCAGATGAGCTGGTAACCAGCTGAAGCACGTCCTCCCTGTCCTTGAAATGCCAGTGCAAACCAACCACTAAAGAGTGTCGCATTGCCTTCTTGGCACACTAATATCGAGCTCCGGAAACGAATCGAGTGCACCACACACCTCATGGCATCGGCAACGGCTCCAAGATAGTCGTTATAGAAGCTGACGCGCTTCCAGTCATCAAGAGCAGCAGGCAGCTGCAGCGAGTCATACGGCTGCTGGGGAGACTCAGCTCCATCATTCCCCTGAGGTCCCCGAACGTGCAGCTGGGAGAGTGAATTGCGATCCAACGGTGGCAGTGCGTCAGCATCATCGTCCATGCCTGCACAGGCCTCGTGTGTGATCAGCAAAGAGAAGTAGGGACGAGTGATGTGCCGAGCAACGGAAACAAGGTGAGAGGAGAAGTGTTACATGGGCGGAATGTGGACAATTTGGTAAGGTTTGCCTTGGACACGTGGTAGTGCAAGAGTGGGTGCAAATTGCGGAAAGAAAAGCAAGCAAGCAACAACCGTTCTCACAGGAGAGGCAAGGAAGGTAAGGTGGGAAAGGCAGGCGAGGCGAGAAAGGCACAACGTAAGACACACCGTTCTCAGTGATTAGGATGGGAGGGCGGTTGTAACGCGCTGTGATCCAGTTGAGAAGCTTTGTGAATCCCCATGGCACGATGTAGAGCCATTCAGAGGCTGCCTGGAGGCAGGGAGATGGGCAGGAGGTGAGACGGAGACGGAAGAATGAGGTTGACTTGTAGCATTCTTAGGTGGATTGCAGGCGATGGGCTTGTGTGTGTGAAATACAGACAAAGGAAATTGTGTGATCAACAAATTGGCATGTGTGATTAGGTGTGGGTTTGGATGAATTGGCAGAGCGTCCTTACCCGCTCTCCAATGGGGATGCCATCTCGTGATGCTGCACACAGGGCAGGAAGTGGGAGGAGGGAGAAGGGGAGAGGAGAGGGACAGAAAACGGAGAGTAGAGGGAGAGGAGAGGGACAGAGGGAGAGTCGAGGGAGAGGAGAGGCACAAGAGGTGGAATGTAAAATAGGCACATGAGGAGGAAAAATGAGAACGAAAGGCTGCTCTCTTCAGTAGGAACAAAGAAGGGATCCCGCTCACCCAATATCTCAACACCCTGGTCCTTGAAATGGTCTCCCTCATCCTCCCCAGATACCGCTGCAGCAGCAGACCCGCTCTCCTCACTCTCCCTGCCCTGCGCGCTTGCAGCAAGTGCAGGCGACTCGTGCGGCAGCAGAGGAACTACAGCAACCGTGCCAGATCCTGCTGCTGTGGCCGCGAGGTCATCCACAACAGTATTGCCAGCAGCATCAGCAGCAGCTGAAGGAGCAGCGGCAGGAGCGGGAGTGGCAGGTTCAGCAGGAGCAGCACAAGAGACGAATTTGGAGGTGTAGTGGTTGACTCCTACAAAGTCCAGCGACCCCTTGAGCTGCTGCTGCTGCTCCCATGTGAAGCAGGGCAAGCGGCCCCCCACCCTCTGCTTCATCACTGCTGGATAGTCGCCTGAAAAGAGCGGGTCTAGCACCCTTGGCGTGGAGAAGGGTGGTGAGGAGAGCGCGAGGTAAGAGGGAAGTGTGTGTGTGTGGCAGGGTTGGGAGAAGGAAGTGTGGAGACGAATGAGGGGGAAATAGCTGGGAGGAAGAGGTAGGAAGGAGGACAAAGGAGACAGGACAGGGACTGAGAAAAGAAAATTAATCCTTGAAAAACCTGAGAGCAGAGGCTACACCACACTATAGACTGATGACGCCTCCTTACCGTACCGCAGCATATTATACCATTCCCACACCACCACAACTCCACCACGCAACCTCTTGAGGTTCGAAACGCCCTGATTAGAAAGGTCAAGGACTCCCAGGCATCTCAGGGCACGCACCATGCAAGCTGGAACTGCATGCGTCTCTCTGCTGCTTGCACATCAGCAGGCGAGGAGGTGAGAGGCTCCGCCCACTCCCCGTCCACCGCCAGCCCTATGCTCATGCCGCTGTGGGACTGGGCGGACATGGGTGACACGTGGGTGTAGTTTTGAGGCGCCTCAAAAGTTAAAAACTACACACCCCATCCGCTGGCAGCCCTATGCTCATGCCGCTGTTGGACTGGGCGGACATGTGGATACATGGATGAAACACGTGGGTGACACGTGGGTGACACGTGAAACATGGGTGCCACATGGTTGATGCATGGAAACAAGGGTGATAATACATGGGGAATACAAGGGTGATCAAAGAATGCTCTCACTCACCCCGAACCTTAGCCGGAAGGCCTCAACAGCAGCAGCGTGTGCGAGCAGTAAGTGGTGCATCACTAGATATGGCTCTCTAGCAGAGTTGCCTCCTTGGGGAGAGATGGCACGGTTGGAGGAGCGCCCAGGGGCGTGAATGCCCCACTGGTACCCGCACAGCGTGAAGCAGAGCGGCTCGTTTAGAGTGATCCAGTGCGGTGCAGAGCGGCCGAAGAGCGTGAAGCAGGTGTCTGCATAGGTGCGAAAGCAGGGCCTGTTGGGGTGGGATGGAGGGAGTGAGGGTGGGTGGGAGGGTGGGAGGGTGGGGGACGAGGGTGGGTGGTAGCGTGTGAGTGAGGGGAAGCAAGCGGGTGCGTGTGTGGTAATGCGGGGCCAGAGATGGGGCATGGAGGGACTGGATGAAGAGGCGGGCAGATGGGCATGGAGCAACGGTAGAGGCAGGGTGCTGCATTGTAAAAGTTGTACTTGTGATTGCTTGCTGAGTATGCTTCTGATCACTAGCTAGCAACAACTAGAACCCAGGTCTATCGTCCCCCCTTTATTCCACCTTGCCCTCAAAAGAGATCGTATTTCCAGGCCACGCAGCAGCGCTCTGACTCTATTACCCAGGCACCTCAGGAACCAACTCGGCTCTCACACTATTTCGGGGTTCCTCCAGCCGCCAAACTCCTTCTCAAGGGCGAGAGGGAGGTCCCAGTGGAAGAGAGTCACGTAGGGCGTGATGCCTAAGGGGGGAGAAAGGGGGCGAGGGGAGGAGGAGGTTGGGAGTGGGAGTGGGAGAGGAGTGGGAGTGCTGGCCTAACCACATGCCACTTCATGAGATGCCACCCCACCACCTGCCACCCGATTGCAGGTCACCCCTACCACAAGCCACCTGCAAAGCATCCCTCCACACAACACCCACCATGCACGCCTTCATTCATTCCAGCGTACCCCCCCTCCACACAACACCCACCATGGTCCAGCAGTGCTTGGATGAGCGCAGAGTAATATGCCACCCCCTCGGGATTCACAGGCGCCCGCCCAGCTATGGTGGGGTGAATGCAGGAATGATGGTCGTGTGGTTACCGGGTAACAGCAGTGGCACGAGGCAGGCAGGGTAGAGCCGATGATAGGTGTAAGGGCAGATGTGCATTGGAAGGAATTGAGTGGGGAAGTCGCGCACATAAGACAGTGCTGATTGTTGACAATGGCATGACATCCTAGCATTCCACCCATCGTTACATAAAACGGCGCTTGATCACTGGGCATGATGGCTCACTGGGCATGATGGCTCACTGGGCATGATGCGTGACCATGATATGGAAAAGCGGTATGCCTTCATCCCCATGTTCACCATCAGTGCGATGTCCTCCTGATATACCAACCCCATGCCATGCCACGCCACCACATGCCATGCCATACCATGCCAAACCATGCCACACCATGCCATTCAACGCCACGCGAGGCCATGCCACGCCACAGCATGCCATGCCATGCAAGAGAACAGACAGGAAAGCTTGAGGAAATGACAGTGAGGCGAGCATGGAACAAGGTAGAGGCACACAGGCCAAACCGAGTGCATGTTCATGATTCCAGATGCAGCGTGCATCATGGCAGCAGAAAGTCATGGCATGGCATGGCATGGCATGGCATGGCATGGCATGGCACCAGAGTCTCTGCTGCTGACCCCTCCTCTAGCGTTACCTGCCTCACAGCATGCATGCTGCACACTGCCGAATCTTCTCTCACCTTGTATCGGTGGTATTGATCGCATGCCACGTCTCCTGTGTCGCCGTTCAGTGTCTTGCCTGCACCCACCACCATGACCGCATGCATTCGTCCATCCACGCATCCAGACATTTATGCATCCATGCATCGATACATGCATCATTCCATTTGTGTATGCATGCATGCACCAGGCATCAGCCAAGGATAAAGCAGGGGATCTACTCATTGCGAGGCTACTGAATCGCCATGCGCTCGGATGTGCCAGGAGCAGAACTACACAGATAAGGGCATGAACAAGTGCTAAGATCCTTAGAATATAAGACCAGCTGACATGCACTCCTCACCTGACAATCACCTGACATGCACAAGGCACGTGCCACATAAGCTCACCTGGCGGCATGCATTCACCTGGTGTGTGCGAGAATTCGTCCCATATGCTGGGGCCCCGACCCCCCTCCCGTGCTGCTCCCTCCACCTGATGCCATGCCAGTGCCATAAGAGCAAGGGACGGCGCCAAGATAACACATATTGAGGCTTTCAAAAGCGCAGATCATGTTTGCCGATCAACAAAGGCCACATCACGATTCGCCTATCCGTGTTTATTGAAGTATCCCCGCTTCAGTCACCCTGAGGTGCTTCCACGCAACTCACCTGGTACGCGGCCGTCGCAGTTCCGAACACGAATTCTGGAGGAAACATGCTCCGCAAGACGCGGCGCTTTCCACGCTGGCCATGCGCGGGAGCTGCCATAAGTTCCAGTGCTCTCTCTCGACCCTCGATGCGTCGCTTCGTCCTTCCACTGGTTCGCTTCCCTGGCGCCTTGAGCGGGAATGTGTGATAAGAAATCTAGCCACCTGCGGTTCCAGGGAGCTGTACGAAATCCTCGCTATGCGCTTTCCATTACAGGACTCTCTGCTCTCCCGACGAACGTTCCTTGCATATCGCACTCCGACATGCGAAACGTTCAAACCAAAAGGCGGGGAGAGGTTCAGATCGGGTGAGCGAGCAGCCCGCGACAGTCATTCGACAGCAACGACAATTGGAAGGTTTGGTTGGATTCATGTCCATGAATCCGTGATCAAAGATGGGGGAGATCGAATGCACGAATTGATCATCCCAAGGTGCAAGCGAAAATGAGGAAACTGTTCTGTAGACGTCGGAAATCGTGAAACTTATATGTACATGTAAGGAAAATCTCTTTTTCCTTACTTCGCGTCCCTGCTCAACGCGTACAGCACTGTAGCACCACAGTCAGCACCGCTACCACTCGCAACCCTCGCATCGACAATCCGCCCGCCACCTTCGCACGTCGCACCCCGACCTCACGGCTCGGCGGGTAACCCGCGCTCCGGGCCTCCGCTTCGACACTTTTCCCAACCTCAGTCCCAGGCCCGTCGCGCGACAACCACAGTCCATTACCGTTACCACTGTAGTTTCGCTATATATTCTTCGCTCATGCCTTCGCTCATTGTACCCTTGCTTCGATAGTGCAATTCTCGTTCGTTCACTCCATTGCACTCGTAACACTTGGTATTCAGAGCCTACGATCTCTTCTCGGACCGCACCCACACCTTCGCTTCCCCACTATCTCAATTTTTGGGGGGGGTAGACGTCTCTCAGCGACACAGCACCGCCACTCGTAGTGCTCTCTCGTAAGCACGCACGGCCACGACTGAGGCTCTCGCTGAGCTCGCCCGACACCCCCGCCATGGCCGAATTCACGCTCGCCACATTGACGCAGGAGCAGCTCGACCGTCTGGTGCGCCAACTCGAAGATTCGGCGCTCGAAATTGCGATGCTCACAGCGGAACGTGACTCCGCGCGTCAGCAATCAACGGTGAACACTCCAGCAGCACCACACGCACCAACAAATGCACCTGCACAATCGGACGAGCCAATCGTCATCTCGTCCGGGACACCAACACAACACGACAGCGTGGGACAGCGCTCGGGCGCAGCCAGTGATAGCGCCGCCCAACCAATGCCTGGCATGGGAGGAAACAGGGGCGCGCCAAGCCCGCGGGAGCCTCGCGAAGCCCGTCGGCACGTGGAGTTCGCGGCGACAAGTGGCGAACAGGCCATCATGGCACCAATGCCACTCAAGCCGCAACGCCCGCCCTGTTTCGACCCGAGCCAGCGTGGAGGTCCGACGGTTCAATCGTGGGTTTTCACGATGAACGTCTTCTTCGACGCGAATTACGTCGAGTCGGACGCAGCGAAGATTCGGTATGCCGTTTCGCTATTAAGGGGCCCCGCCATGGACTGGTGGCGAGTCATCGTGACGTCGCCACGCGCCTACGAGCCACCGTCGCAAGAGGAAGGGCCCACGGGTCCAGCTGTCACCTGGAGTTCATTCTGTGAGACCGCCCAATACAGCACGTGGGATGCGTGGTGCGCAGGGCTTCGGGCGCGCTTCGAGCCGATCGCGGCTTCTATTTCGGCGCGTCAGAGATTGCGCACTTGGCGGCAGCTCGGGTCGGTTCAAGATTATACGAGCGGTTTTGTCGCACTTTGCGAGCAGGTCGGCTACATGCACGAAGCGGAGCGGGTGGACCGTTACGTCGGAGGGCTGAAGCCGGATATCTCGCACGAAATCATGCTGCGCGGACTCTCAAACTTCAACGAGATTCTCGCGCTCGCCGAGAAAATCGACATTCTACGCCGACCGAGACCGGGGTCCTACTACGGACATCGTCCTCGAGGACCGATCGAGCACGCCACTGTAAACGCTGTTGCAACGAATGCAGCTGCCGCACCGTTTAAGGGGCGCTGCTTTGCTTGCAATAGGCCGGGCCATCGCAAGAGCGAATGCCCAGAGGAGCTAAGGCGCCGCGGAGCAGAGCAGGGGAGGGAGTCTCAGAGGCAGGGAAACGCCAGCAGTCAGTAGAAGTTGGGCCAACTACTTACGAGACTGCCTGCTCGCCCAACCGCACCGACCCTCACCGAGTCACAGTACCGATTCACGCCATCGATCGGGCTCGGATGAATAAGGAGGGTACAACGACGGATTGCCCAGTACTGATCCACGGGAAAATACAGGGAGCAGCAGTGAAGATTTTTATTGACGGAGGAGCAAGCCACAGTTTAGTTAATACCGCAACTGCGCGAAAATTACAACTGACACTTAGTCGCTGCTTACCTGAGATTGACGCACGCTTAGTTGATGGCACGCCGCTGGCCATACGGGAGAAGGTGGAGAGAGTAAAAGTTCGCTGCGGGGGAAACTTCGGGTTTACACAGGAAATGCTAGCGACGACATTGGATGGGCATGATGTTTTACTGGGACGTGATTGGCTACGACGGTACAACCCACGAATCGACTGGACGACGGGTAGCTGCACTGTGCGAAGTAGCGGTAACTGGGTCATGCTACCTCGCTGGCAGTCGCCCGAGTCTTCAACGGTCCACGTCAACGCCATCACGATGAAACGGGTTGTCGCCGCTGGAGCTTACGTGTACGCAGTAGATATAGCATTAGTAGGAGAAGCGGAGCAGCCGAGCAATTTTCAGAAACAGTTGGCAGCAGTACCGCCCGAACTACAGGAACTGTTGAAACGGTACCCGGGGATTTTTCCAGACGACTTACCGGAAGGGCTGCCACCTCAGCGGGCGCATGATCATAGGATCGAGTTAGAACCGGGGGCACAGCCAACTGTACAGCGCCAGTTCAGACTGACACAGCCCGAGCTCGACGAACTGAGGAAGCAGTTAGATTATTTGTTAGAGAAGCAGTTTATTCGACCAAGTTCGTCACCGTTCGCCGCACCGTTACTGTTCACACCGAAAAAAGACGAAGGGTTTCGCATGTGCATCGATTACCGAGCGCTCAACAGGGTAACAGTCAAGTCGCGGTACCCCATTCCCCGCGCCGACGAACTGGTCGACCAACTGCGAACAGCACGGGTGTTTTCGAAAATAGACTTACGGGGGGGTTACCATCAGATTCGGGTCGAACCATCGGACTGCGCCAAGACAGCCTTTAGGACTAGGTACGGGTCGTTTGAGTACACGGTGATGCCTTTCGGGCTGACCAACGCGCCCGCAACATTTCAGATGACCATGAACGAGGCGTTTAGGCCACTCTTAGATAAATGCGTGATAGTTTACCTCGACGACATCCTCGTCTACAGTCGCGACAAGCAGCAGCAATTAGCGGATCTCGAAGCAGTATTTAAAGTTTTAGAGGAACATCGGTTACTCACCAAGGGCTCTAAGTGCGAGTTTTTTCGGGACAGACTAGAATTTTTGGGGCACGTTATTTCGGAGGCTGGTGTTGAAATCGACCCAAAGAAGCTGGATACGGTAAAAGCGTGGCGTCCCCCGACGAACATCACGGAACTGCAGAGTTTTTTAGGGTTCGTTAATTATGTTCGTCGGTTCGTCCCCGACATGGCACAGTTGACTGCCCCGCTGACGGATTTACTACGAAAGGGGGTCGTTTTTACGTGGGGGGAGAAAGAGCATGCTGCCTTCTCTGCCCTGAAAAATGTTCTCTGTTCACTGCCCGTCCTGCGCATCGCCGACCCACACCGCCCCTTCGAGGTTGTTACAGACGCAAGCGACATCGCCATTGGAGCCGTACTGCTACAGGACTTCGGCAACGGCCTACAGCCCATCGCATACGAGTCACGAAAACTGCATCCGCCCGAGCGAAATTACCCGATACACGACCGCGAAATGCTCGCGATCGTGCATGCGTTCAAAGTGTGGTGCTGCTACTTGACCGGCGCAGACGTGACAGTACGGACAGACCACTGATCACTACAGTACCTCCGCGCACAGCCCCACCTCAACCCACGACAGATTCGGTGGCTCGATTTCCTCGAGTCAAACTTCCACTACACAGTCACCTATAAAAAAGGAGCCTCGAACATCGCCGACGCACTGACCCGCCCCACTGCCCAGATCCACGTGATACTACTCGCCCAGACCAGCCCGCTACTGACAGGACTATTTACCCACGGATATCAAACGGACCCATTCTTCACAGGAGGAAATTCGCAGCAGTTCGCAGCAGCCAAGGGAGTCTATTACGTAAAAGCCGGGACCGACCGCATCTGGGTACCAGGGTACACACTGCTACGGGAATTACTATTACACGAGGCACACGACGGGGTTACCTCGGGACATTTCGGGGTAGAGAAAACACGGCAGCAGCTGCAGCGGTATTATTACTGGCCCGAAATGTTGACCGACGTGCAGCGACACGTGGCATCGTGTCCCACTTGCCAGATCATGAAGTCAACACGGAAGCGGCCGGCGGGACAGTTGCAGCCAATCCCACCTCCAGAGCGTGCTTGGCAGCAGGTGACGATGGACTTCGTCACGGGGTTACCGGCCGGGGCGAGTGGAAATGACGCGATCCTGGTCGTCGTCGATCGACTGACGAAAATGGCACACTTCGCAGCCTGCAAAAAATCAATCACAGCCGAAGAAACAGCCCGCCTCTTCATCTCTACCGTCGTTCGACTGCACGGGATACCAGCATCAATCATCAGCGACAGAGACACGAAATTCACCAGCAACTTCTGGCGGAACCTGTGGCAGCAGTTCGGCACGCGACTACAGTTTAGTTCATCGTACCACCCCGAAACAGACGGACAGACAGAACGGACAAATCAGACCATGGAACAGCTCATCCGGGCCACCTGCGACGACCCAAACACGTGGGAACAGCAACTGCCACTCATCGAATTCGCATACAACAACGCCCCATCCGCCACGACCCAACAGTCACCGTTTTACCTGAATTACGGACAAGACCCAACAGTACCCATGACCCCGAATCCCGACAACCCGGTTCCACGCGCGCAACAGTTCGCCGAAATTTTGCAAGCAGCACGGACCAGGGCAGCAGACGCAATTAAAAAAGCTAACATCATCGCTAAACGCAACGCCGACCGCCACCGCAGACCTGTCACTTACCAGCCCGACGACTTAGTTTTGCTCGACACCCAAAATCTCCGACTGCCCATCACCCCGAAACTCCGCCCCCGATACTGCGGGCCATTTCGCATAAGCCACATGCTTACACCTGTCACCGCCCACCTCCTCCTCCCTGCTGACTGGTACGTCAGCCCCTCGTTCCACGTCAGCCTGCTTCGCCCTTACGTCCCGTCCACGAACCAACTGCCACGCAATCGCCCAGCCAGCATGACAAGACCACAGACTGAACCAATCATCACCCCCGAGAAAATCCTGAGTCACAGAGTTCGCGACCCTCGAGGAGCCCGAAGGATCGAGTTCTTACTCCGCTGGAAGGACCGTACACCCACCGAAGACAATTGGGTTCCCCTGGACAGAATCGAAAACCACCCCGTCCTCACCGAGTATCTGCGCAGCCGGAATTTCAGGGATGTACACGCACTTTCGTAAGGAGGACCTCCTTAAAGGGGGGGGGTAGTGTAAGGAAAATCTCTTTTTCCTTACTTCGCGTCCCTGCTCAACGCGTACAGCACTGTAGCACCACAGTCAGCACCGTTACCACTCGCAATCCTCGCATCGACAATCCGCCCGCCACCTTCGCACGTCGCACCCCGACCTCACGGCTCGGCGGGTAACCCGCGCTCCGGGCCTCCGCTTCGACACTTTTCCCAACCTCAGTCCCAGGCCCGTCGCGCGACAACCACAGTCCATTACCGTTACCACTGTAGTTTCGCTATATATTCTTCGCTCATGCCTTCGCTCATTGTACTCTTGCTTCGATAGTGCAATTCTCGTTCGTTCACTCAATTGCACTCGTAACACCAAACAACCTTCACCCGTTCTCACCTCAAAAACATCGCGATAAGGATTCCGGCCCTTTCGCTAGTGCTGATGGTAACGGGGTGGACGCGCTCCCGCATGTCTTCGTCTTTCGCCAAACCAATCAGGGGGGCCCGTTGGAATGGGAAATCTCCCGTGTGCAGCGTCAGCTGCAAGCTCACCACCAAATCGCGGGTCAATTGAAGTCCCTCTCCTAGCCCTCGCGCCTCTATTTGGTTCTGTGGGTTGTGTGTTGCGATGTGCAGTGAGGAATAGTTTCTACCCGTGTAGATCTACTGAACCGTGCTGCGAGCGACTCGTCCTCGTTCGTGCCAGTAGAAGCAGGATCTGCAACGGAAAGCCGATTAGCGGCCACGAGAGGCCATCCCGCCCTTCTCCTCCGAAGGCTCTCCGAGCTGAGTCGTCTTGTGACAATATATATCGCATGACTGGACGCGTTTTGCACCGCATCCCGTGCATGACGTCGTGGCGCCGAGCCGCGCATTTGAGTGCGGCGATACTTGCTAGTACGAGCAGCAGCCGTCCACGCTGCTGCGATACCGCACGGATGACAGCAGGCGCATCAGTCCACGCTGGCAGTACCAAGCGACGACACGTAGTAGATTCGCACGACGTTCTTTCGTGTTCGTGCCACTGCCACTGCCACTGCCACTGCCGCCGCCGCTGCTGCTGCTACAGCTGTTACTCCTGCTTTGCAACGACGGAACCACAAATAGCGGGCTAGATGGGTGGATCGTCAGCAGCAGCAGCGCGCCGTTCACTGCATGGCCGCGAGGGATCCCCGTGGTCGCCGCTGAGCCACGTCTGGACAAGTCACAAGGTGCTGCCACGTGTGCTTCCATGCGCCGTGATGACGCGGCGTGACGTGCGATCCGAACCCCGCTCTCCTCGTCCCTTTATTCCCGCATTGAAACTCCTTACATGCCGGTTTCCCGTTCGCGTCGTTGCCCCTACCCACATTCTCCCCATCTCCCCACGTTCTCTCTGCTCCCCCCAGTGGCGCCGCTGGCGGCGTGCGCGGCGGCATGGGGCGTGGCGTTCGTAGACCCGTCCGACCCCATGGACTGCGGGATCGCCCTCAACATCACATGCGACGCCGCCGGCATGGTCGACTGGATGTGAGGCCTCATCGCACGCTGTCCGTTGTCCGCTGCCCGCTGCCCGCTGTCCGCCTCTCTCACGTTCCAATCCACCGCAACGTCACGTGGCTGAACTGTTTGAATAACAAGAGCCTCCATATGAACAGAGGCCTTTATATCTTTGGCTGAACTCGAAAACAACAAGACGTTCCCGGTTTAACCACACCTCCTTCTGCTCGCCTCCACTTGCTTCCTCTCCCTTCCTCTCCCTTCCCATTCGACCCTCATCCATTACCTTTCCTCAGTCTCCCTCTCTCACCTCTCTCTCCCTGCGACCCCCCAACCTAAATCTCTCACTCCCCTCGTGGCCATGCGTCAGGGTGTTGAACGGCGGGGGCATAGCAGGACCCATCCCAGCCAGCATCGGCGCCCTCATCGGACTCACCCACCTGTCAGCCGCCCTGCCCCTCTACCCTCCACCCTCTCACCACTTGCACCGTGCCGGCCCCTGTTTGAAGTCGTCTCGCTACTCTCGACTGCTGTTGTTCAATGCCCTTTTATCGCCACCGTCCCACATTGCGGCCTCTCTGCCCCCCTCCAATGATTTTATCCATACCCATACCCCATACTTTAACATATCCATGTATCCATACGCATCCCCAACCCTCCATCCCCCATCCCCTCCGCCCCGCTTCCCTGTTTACCCATGGTCCTCTCCCATTGTGCAACACGTGACTGCATTGCATGCATGTGCATGTGTGTGCCCCGCAGTGATCTAGACAACAACGCATTGACGGGGTCCATCCCACCCACCATCAGCCACCTCACACGCCTGCTCTACCTGTCAGTCACTCACCCTCCCTCTCAGCCATCTTGATTCGTCTGTGTAATATGCTCGCCAGCCCACTTCCCTCTCCTCACACAGCTCTTCCTCTCCCATCCCGTCGGATCGGACATACAGAGACCCCCGGTGCCTCCCTCTCTCTCTCCCTTCCCCTCTCCTGTCTGTCCCCAGCGACCTGAGTTACAATCAGCTCTCTGGCTCCATACCCATCGCCATCGACGGCCTTCTCTCAATCACCCAGCTGTACGAATGCAGGCAGTATGACAACCGTTCGTCTTTCAAGTGTCTTGTTACAGAAGTCTGCATGCATTCGTGTGCAGTGCATTACTTTCAGTACCTCCTCGTTTATTTCTTGTGGCTGCCTGCATTCCTCTCCCCTTCCTCTCGTCTCTCTGTGCCACCCTCTTCCCGCTGCAGCAACTTTCGCAACAACAGGCTGAGTGGCAGCATTCCTGCGGTTATTGCCAATCTCACCACACTCAATGACCTGTGCGCCCTCTCTCTCTTTTCTCCCACTCTTCCCTTTCCTCTCGTGACCTCCCCACCACCTAACTCCCTGTTCCAACCATCTTCCTTTTCTCTTCCCTCTATCTTACCCGCCGCATCCCCTCTGCTCATGTTTCTTTCACCTGGATTCAGGGTTATCGAATATTCCTGAAAACTCTTGAATTTGTGGAATCTCTTAAAATTCTGCATCATCTCTGGCATATTCCTGAATTCGTCACTCTTAAAGGTGCATACCAACCTATCCCTCCACCCCCACCCCTCCCTTCCCCACCACCTCCTACCCCCCTTCGTGCTGCTACCTTCCATCACGTCACCACACGCAGCTACTTGTCATCAAACCAGCTAAACGGGTCCCTGCCAGCCCAGATCGGCAACCTGCGCCACCTCTCCACGCTGTGAGCCGCGCTTGCCTCCTTGCCTACTTGCTCTCCTCCCTCCCGTGCATGTGTGTGCACCACCATGAGAGGTGTGAGGAATGCGAGGGGTGTGCGAGGAGTGGGCGCAGATGCGGTTGAGATAAGGTGCCGCCAGGAAGGAATGATGGGGAGGGAGAGGGTATGGTGAAGATGCAGCGATGACACGAATGCCTTTTTTATCAATCTGTGTGACTCCATTCTTCCCTTGGACCCCCCCTAACCCTCTCTCCCTCCCTCCCTCCATCCCCCCCTCCCTGCCTCCCTCCCTCCCTCCCTCCCCCCCTCCCTCCCTCCCTCCCCCCCTCCCTCCCTCCCCCCCTCCCTCCCTCCCCCCCTCCCTCCCCCCTCCCTCCCTCCCTCCCTCCCTCCATCCCCCCTCCCTGCCTCCCTCCCTCCCTCCCTCCCCCCCTCCCTCCCTCCCTCCCCCCCCTCCCTCCCTCCCCCCCTCCCTCCCTCCCCCCCTCCCTCCCCCCTCCCTCCCTCCCTCCCTCCCTCCCTCCCTCCCTCCCTCCCTCCCTCCCTCCCTCCCTCCCTCCCTCCCTCCCTCCCTCCCTCCCTCCCTCCCTCCCTCCAACTCCTCCTCCGCTCCTCCCAGGGACGTCATATCAGGCAACCAGCTGTCTGGTGTGGTACCGCCTATCCTCGGAGGCATTCCCCTCGGAACCCTGTGAGCCCCGCACCCCCTGCTGCTGCTCCGCTCCCACCCTTTTTGCTCGCATGCCTCCCTCCCTTCGTCCGACCGTCCGTCCCTCTCTCCCTCCCTCCCTTTTCTTTGTCCCTCTCTCCCTCCTTTGATTGCCTGTTGCACTTTCCTGTTCCGCTGTCCTCTCTCCCGCGATTTTCCTCTGCCTCGCGTGCACCTCTCCATCCATCCCTTTCCCCTTCCATTGCGATGCCGTTCGTCCATGCCACCGCCATATCCCTGCTTCCGAACATATCCGCCATGTCTACTCCTCCCCAGCTCAGATCTACTCCTCCCGAACTCAGATCTACTCCTCCCGAGCTCACACCTCCTCCTCCCGAGCTCAGATCTACTCCTCCCGCGCCCTGCTCTACTCCTCCTGCCCTCAGATCTGCGCATTTCGCGCTCAGATCTGCACATTCCGCACTCAGATCTACTCTCCCGCGCCCAAATCTGCATTCCGCGTGCTCAGATCTGCAACTCGCACGCCCTTGCTAGTCCGACCGCGCGCCCTGGTCGTCCGCCCTCTGCTCGTCCGCCCTTCGCGTCCCCGCCCTGCCCGTCCGCACGCCCTGCTCGTCCGCGCCCTGCCCGTCCGCACGCCCTGCTCATCCGCCCTTCACGTCCGCGCCCTGCCCGTCCGCGCGCCCCAGTCATCCGCACCCTGGCCGTCCGCGCGCCCTGTTCGTCTGCACGCCCTGCTCGTCCGCGCTCCGGTCGTCCACACTCTCCCCGTCCGCGCACTCGTTGCACGCCCTCCTTCCCCGCTCGCTGTCCCCCTCCCCTCGTCCGCCCCCTGCCCACCTCCCTGGCATACAACACATCTGCACGCGCATACAGCACACCTGACAGCACATACCGCACACCTGACAGCACATACCGCACACCTGACAGCACATACCGCACACCTGACAGCACATACCGCACACCTGACAGCACATACCGCACACCTGACAGCACATACCGCACACCTGGGAGCACATACAGCACACCCGCCTGCGCATACCGTCAGCTGCCTGCGCACACCTTCATGCCCTGCTCGCCTGCGCCATGCCGTGACCGCCCACACCCCACATTGCTTCCCCCATGGCAACAGTCGCGCTGGCATGCATCAGCAGTGGTGCCGGTGGGCATGGAGGAGGGCATAGTGGCAGCTGTGGTGGTGGTCAAGGGAGACTCGCAGGATATTGTGGTGTCAGGGGTTTGAGCGCAGGCTGCGGCGCAGCAGCAGCCTTCTCTCCTCGTGAATATGTGCCTCGCTATGGCCCGACTCGGGGACTTCAGTGTAAGCTTTCCACCCAAGCCCACCATGCCCCGAGTCAACCCTTCTCTCTACCTCCTCCTCCTCCTCCTCCTCCTCCTCCTCCTCCTCCTCCTCCTCCTCCTCCTCCTCCTCCTCCTCCTCCTCCTCCTCCTCCTCCTCCTCCTCCGCAGCAGCAACAGCAACAACAGCAGCAGCAGCAGCAGCAGCAGCAGCAGCAGCAGCAGCAGCAGCAGCAGCAGCAGCAGCAGCAGCAGCAGCAGCAGCAGCAGCAGCAGCAGCAGCAGCAGCAGCAGCAGCAGCAGCAGCAGCAGCAGCAGCAGCAGCAGCAGCAGCAGCAGCAGCAGCAGCAGCAGCAGCAGCAGCAGCAACCGCAGCAACAGCAGCACCAGCAGCAGCTCTGGCACCTCCTCCTCCAGCTCCAGCAGTTGCTTCACCGCCTGCAGCAGCACCTTGACCTACAACCGCAGCTGCCTCTTCCTCCTCCTCCCCCAACTTCCCAGCAGAACTCAGTTCCGCATTGTTCCACAAGCTCCGCCACTTCAAGCATCGTCCCACCTTTCTCATCCGTTGGTATCGCTGGTATGGTCAATCAAGCCACATCAACTGCACCTGCCACATACTCCTCTAGCACTAACGAAACTGCGTTCCAGTCCTCTGTCCCTTCCTCCTCCCTCTCCTCCACTGTCGATTTTGTCCTCGACAGCGGCGCCACTGACACAGTTCTTCGCGATGCTGGCACCTTGCGCACCCTCCCAACGCCTACCTCCCTCCTTGGTGCCGACAGCAGCTTCTCTATCCCCTGCCATAACACCTCGACTCTCCCCTGCCCACTCTTCCCCTCAGGCACTGTCACCGGTCTCCACATACCCTCTCTTCGCGCTAATCTCCTTTCGCAAAGGTCCCTTGAGCAAGCCGGTATCACCACAGTATTCCCAGCTCATGCTAACTATTGCGCTCTCTATCATTCCGCCACCGGTCAGTTCCTTTCTCGCATTCCCTTTTGCCCTCGCTCCCGTCTGTACACCCTTCGGGTTCCTCGCCTCCCCTCCTGTCAGGTCATCTCTCGTCCCCCCCTCCACCCTCTCATCCCACCTCCTCCTCTCCCTCCCACTAACCCGGACCTCCCTTCCCGCCCCCCCCTTGACTCCTCTTGCTCCTGTCGCTCCCTCTCCCACCCTGCCGTCCTCCTCCATCACAGGCTAGGTCACCCTAACTTCGCTACTCTACGCTCCTCTGTTTCCACCGGTCTCCTCCACGGTCTCCCCTCCTTCCTCCCTCCCCTCCCCAAATCCCCTGCCCCCCCCTGCACCGTCTGCGTTCAGAGCAAGCTCAAGCAGCAGCCGCACCGGAGCTCCCCCTCTGCTGCTGCTCAGCCACTTGATCTTGTTCACATGGACCTCTGGGGCCCCAATCCCTCTCCCACTCGCCAAGGCCATCGATACCTCCTCGTACTCGTCGATGATCACAGTCGGTACTCGTCTGTCTCTCTCCTTCGGACGAAGGCAGATGCCCCGGCTGCGATCATCGCCTGGCTCGAGCGGGCAAATACCCATTTTGGGCGCCCTGTTCGCCGCCTTCACTCTGATGGTGGTGGTGAGTTCCTTAACAACCAAATATCCTCCTATTGTCAGTCTCATGGCATTCTTCAGACTTACACCCTCCCTCACTCCCCACAGCAGAACGGTGTGGCTAAAAGTCGTGTTCGAGAGATCACCAAAACTGCCCGGTGTCTTCTTGTCCACGCCTCCTGCCCTCCTTCTCTGTGAGGCTACGCCCTCCTTCATGCCGCCCTCCTTACTAACCTTTACCCTCACCCTCTTCTCCCATCCACCACCCCCACTGAGCTGTGGACGAACAACAAACCTGATGTCTCGTCTCTTCGTGTCTGGGGCTCAAAGGCTTATGTTCTCCTTCACCCCACTGACCGCTCCCGCTCTATGGGAAAGCTTGCCCCTCGTACCCTTCCCTGCATCTTTCTTGGTCATAACTCCTCCTCACCTGACTACCTTTTCCTCCATCCCCCCTCAAGTCGTCTATTCCGCAGTAGGGATGTGGTCTTTGATGAGTCCACTCCCTACTACTCCTCTCCCCCATCCACTGACCCACTCCCCCGTCTTCCCCGTCCCCTTGTCTGGTCTGACACCACCCCTCCCCCACTACTTCCTCCTCCCCCCATCCTCCCTCCCCCCCCCCCCCACCGTCGTCCCCATCCCACGGTGCCCGCCCCTCCCTCGTCTGGTGATATATTTGACCCGGAACCTCTGTCCTCTCCCGTCTCCCCCACACATTCCTCTCCTAGTGCCCTCCCCGCCCCTCCTTCACCTCCCTCGCCGCCGACTCGTCCTTCCCCCCCTCCCCGCACCGTACTTACCCGGTACCCCCATACCAGGTCACGTGACAGTATCCTTGGTGCACCGCCCCCTGTTACCCTCTCTACCTCTACCCTCCCCCCACTCTCCCCTCTCCTTCACCACTTCTTCCAGGCTGTTCTGCATCAACCTCCTCCTGCAGCAGCCCCCTCTGCCACCTCTCCAGCAGCGGCGCCAGCAGCAGCGTCCGCAACGGCACCCGCAGCGGCACCAGCAGCAGGACCAGCAGTGGCACCTGCAGCAGGACCAGCAGCGGCACCAGCAGCGGGACCAGCAGCGGGACCAGCAGCGGCACCAGCAGCGGGACCAGCAGCGGCACTAGCAGCGGCACCAGCAGCGGCACCAGCAGCGGCACTAGCAGCGGCACCAGCAGCGGCACCAACAGCGGCACCAGCAGCGGCACCAGCAGCGGCACCAGCAGCGGCACCAGCAGCGGCACGTGCAGCGGCACCAGCGGCATCAACGGTCATCCGCTCCTTCCACACCTCCCTCTCCGAGGACTCGCATGAGGAGTTCCTTGACCTCCACCTCTGTGACCCTTCCCTTCTACCCATCACCTTCGACCTTTCTGGGACACCAGTATTCGCATTCTCCTCTGCTCCCTCCGTTTTCATCCCTACCACGTATGAGGAGGCCATGGCTTGCCCCGACGCCCCACTCTAGCTCGCCGCCATTATCAAAGAGCTGGAGGCCTTTGTCGCCAACTCCTCCTTCGTTGATGTGCCTCGCCCTCCCTCCTCTACGAACGTGGTGAAAGGGAAGTGGGTGTTTCGCGTCAAACAGCTGCCAGGGGAGCCGCCCGTCTATAAGGCTCGTTACTGTGCCAAGGGGTTCACGCAGCGGTATGGTTTTGACTTCTTCGATACCTTCTCTCCCACTGCCAAGCCTGCTACTGTTCGCGCCGTGCTCGACCTCGCCGCTCGCCTCAATATGGAGATCCACTCGATGGACGTCTCTAACGCTTTCCTCCAAGGCGTCCTCCGCGAGCTTATCTACATGGAGCGTCCAGCCGGTTTTCACCTTCCCTTCCCTGCAGACTCTGTCTGGCAGCTGCGTCGCCCTGTGTATGGGCTCCGACAGGCCCCGAGGGAGTGGCATGCTAAGCTTGCCGCCACCCTTGCTGAACTTGGGTTCCGCACCTCCCGCTCTGACGCCAGCCTCTTCCTCCGCACCTGCCCCTCCCCGTTCTACATCCTTGTGTATGTCGATGACATGATTCTGCTCACTGCCGACCTTGGCGAATTGGAGCGTGTTAAGGCTGAGTTGGGCAGCCGTCTCAAATGCAAGGACTTGGGCGAGCTGCAGCATTACCTGGGCATGACCATCACCCGCGACCGCTGCGCCCGCACCATCTCTCTCTCCCAGGGTCATTACTTGCAGCAGGTCTTGGAGCGGTTTGACATGGTCCGCGGTGGCGCCCAACCTACTCCCCTTTCTGTCGGGCACCACCTCTCTCCACCCACCTCCCCCTCAGCCTCCTCCCATCCTTATCCCGAGCTCATCGGCTCCCTCATGTACGCCATGGTCTCAACTCGCCCTGACCTTGCCTACCCCATCAGCGTCCTCGCTCGTTTTGTTGGCGCAGGCAAGCATACGGAAGAGCACTGGCAGGCCGCCAAGCGTGTCCTCCGGTACCTTCGTGGCACCAAGGACTATGTCCTTACCCTTGGCGGCCCCTCCCCACCTCTTCTCAGCGGCTACAGTGACTCCTCCTGGGCTGACTCCCGACCAGATCGTCGCTCCTCCCAGGGCTATGACTTCTCTTTTGGCAGCGGCCTTATCAGCTGGCGCTCCACCCGCTCCTCGGCTGCAGCCCTCTCCTCCTGCGAGGTGGAATTGTATGCCGCCACCATGGCTGCGCAAGAGGCCCGCTGGCTCACCTTCCTTCTTGAGGAACTTGGTGCCCCCCAGCGCTGTCCCACAATTTGGTGTGACAATGCTAGTACCATTCACCTCACCAAAGATGCTGTGTTTCACGGGCGCTCCAAGCACATTGAGCTCCGTCATTTCTTCATTCGCGATCTTGTTCAGGCGGGGCACCTTCGCCTCGACAAGGTTGACTCGGCGGCCAACCTTGCCGACATCTTCACAAAAGCTCTTCCTCATGCCGCTCACTCTTTCCTACTTCGTCTTCTTGGCCTCACTCCTCCTAAGTCGCCTCCCGCCTCTTGATTCTAGCCTTCTAGCCTTATGCATGTTGGGGGGTTGTGTTGTAATTTCATATTTCATACAACATACATAGGCTAGAAGTGTAGCACATTTATAAATTGGGGGGTTGCTTAGTGTACCCTCCAACCACATTTTGTGGTTGGTTGGGATTGGTCCTTAGCTCAACCAATCCCAACCAACACACATTTGTGGTTGCTTGGGTCACAAGCAAGCTCACCCATTGGCCAACTTATTGGCCAATAGGGTAAGCTTCCCTCTCATCTCTCTCTTGCTCATTGTTTGTACTAAAGAGCCTCTTGGCTCATTATTCAATGTATCAATTCTAGCTTTCCAACATGTGGGACTGACTGACTGGCTGGCCAGTTCGATCTACGACTCCAACGTCACGTGTCTCACGGGGGGATCCTGCCAGCTCAAGCAGGACCCCATGTCCGCCTTCTGCCTCGAGTGCTCCGACTTCTGCGCCTCCTGCACGCCCTCCCCTGGTGCTGCCCTCCCCTGGTGCCACCCACGCACTCAATGCCATCCCTTCGCCATCGTCCCTCTGCCATTTCCCTCTCAAACGGTCTGTTCCTCTGCATCTCATTCTGAGTCGATTGCAGTCATTGTAAATAATATTTCTCCTCCATCTCCCTCCCTCCCTCTCCCCTGCCCCACTCGCCCCTGCAGGAAGCCCCCCTCCCCCAGCTCGCTCCCCTCTCCCTGTGCCCGTATTCCCACCACCACGTGTTCCCCACTCCCCGCTTGCACCACCAGCAGCTTTACCTCCCCTCGTCTCTCCACCCTCTCCCCCTCCACCTTCTCTCTCCTCACCGCCTCCCAGAATCACTCTCTCTCCTCCTGCACTTTCCACTTCCCCTCCTCCTGAGCTCTCTCTCTCACCACCTGCACTCCCATCCCAACCCTCGCCCTCGATCAATCCCTCCTTGACTCCTCCTCCTTCTCCTCCTCCAATCCCCTCCTCCCCATCCGTGCCTCCAACCAACAGCAGCAGCAGCAGTGGTGGAGGGGTTTCAGTGGCAGTGG